TAGTTCATGAGACAAAATTCCTCTCTTTATTTGTATTCATCTGAGGTAAAGGACTCAGTTTCTTGACTTCATTGCCAGTCAGCCTCTTTGACAACTGGCTGATTGGCTAAAAGGAACATGGTCTCAGAAGTATTTCAACTTGTCCTACGCCATGACTTGCTTTGTTTCTCTTGATAATGCTTATCTTTAAGTGTCTTTACCAGATAATTTGGAGACCGAGGACCCTTGGAACTGCCACGGCCCACCTCCTCATGATTACAGACTTCCCCAGGACCCTCTCTGATTGCCCACGCTTGGCTAACCGAGTTAGGTGGAGACTAAGACTGTCATGGGCTGGCATTACCCATGCAGCTGCCCTTAATCATGACCCATTTTTAGCCAAAGATGGGTAAGATGTCCCATGACAAGTACTGCTAAGACAGGACATGCACATGGCCAGGTGCATGATCCAATGATGGGAAAGGCTTGATCAGAGGTGACACAACCTAAGACAGGCAAAAATGCATAAGATGCTGCTGAGCAATTGATGACAGGTAAGGATGTTACATGGAAGGGGGCAACCTAAGACAGGCTAAAGTCAGTGGCCTTAAAATAAAAACAAAAAGGGGGATATGTGGGAACCTAAAAGCCCCACCTTGCATAGGTCTGAAAGGAAGTTACTGGGGGCACAGCCTGGCTTGCTTTGAAAGTCTGAAAAATACTTCTGCACTGCTGAGGAGTGCATGATTAGCATGTGACCATCCTTAAGATACACCCTCGGGGGGATGCCTTTATAAGCTTTGGAACTCTTGCAATAAATGAGTCCCTGCTTGACTAGGCGCCCCATTGTGTCTGAGTGTCCCCAGGTAATGGGGGTGGTGTGGGCTGGTGAACAGTGTGTTTACTCATCCCCAATCCTCACCTCACCAGGGGTCGTGGGTTTGAGTCCCTGGCAGTACCACACCTTCATTATCCATTCATCAATTGATGGGAATCTAGAGTATTTCCAATTTCTGGCTATTATGAAAAGGGCAGCAAGGAACATGGATGAACAGGTATTTCAGTTGTAGGGTATAGAGTCTTTTGAGTATATGTACAAGAGTGGTATGGTTGGGTCATATGGTAAGTAAATTTCAAGTTTTTGGAGGAATCTCTACACTGACTTTCATAATTGCTACACCAGTTTGCACTCCCAACCAGCAGTTGATAAAAGTTCCCCTTTTGTTACATCTTTGCCAGTATCTGTCATTGTTTTTTATCCTTGCCATTCTGAGATGGGTAAGATGAAATCTCAAAGTCTTTTTAATCTGTACTTCCCTGGTGATGAAAGATATTTGAACATTTTCTAAATACTTCTCAGTGTTTCATCTTTAGAGAGCTCCCTGTTCAGCTCCTTGCCCCACGTTTTAATTGAGTTGTTTGGTTTTTGGTGCTTAGTTTTTGGAGCTCTTTGTTTATTCTACTACATCTCTGTCAGAGTTATAACTGATAAAGTTTTTTCCCATTGTGTAACTTGCCTCTTCCCATAAATGATGGTGTTCTTTGATGTACAGAAGCTTTCTAGTTCCATGTGGTCCCATTTGTCAATGTTGTACCTAATAGGAGACCTCTTTAGGAAGTTATTTTATATAAGTTCCATTGTATTCCTTACTTTCTCCTCTATCTGATTCAGGATATCAGGTCTTATGTTGAGGTCCTTGATTTATTTGGAGTTGAGTTTTGTGAATGGTGAGCAATAGGGATATAGTTTCATTATTCTACATGACCTTATCCAGTTTGACTATTACCATTTGTTGAACATGCTTTCTTTTCTCCAGTGTGTATTTTTGGCTCTTTTGTCAAAAATAAGGTGGCAATAAATATGTGGTTTTAAATCTGGATCCTTGATTCTATACCACTGATTGATTGTTTTTATGCCAGTACCATGTGGATTTTATTACAATAGCTCTGTAGCATAATTTGAGATCACAAATGGCAATGTCTCCAGCAGTTTTTATTTTTCAGGATTATATAGACCATCCTGGTATTTTTGTGTTTCCATATGAAATTTGAGATTGTTTTTTCAATTTCTGTGAAGATTGTGTTGGAATTTTAGTGGGTATTGCATTGAATTAGTAGATTACTTTTGGTCAGATGGCCATTTTCACAATATTAATACTACTGATTCATGAGCGTGGGAGGTCTTTCCATCTCTGGTATCTTCTTCAATCTTTCTTCAATGTCCTAAACTTTTTATTGTACAGGTTTTTCACTTCTTTTGTTAGATTTATTCCAAGATATTTTATGAATTTTGAGACTATCGTGAATGGGATTGCCTATCTAGAGTCCCTCCCTTTAAGATCAGCTCTTCCACTCCCAGCAGTAATCATTTGCCAATAGTTCATCAGCTAAGATTGGTGCCTGCTGTTCATTTCCACAGCTCTATGCTAGATTTTTGTCTGCTTGAGTTGGCATGGGTGTGCTGGATAGCTTTAATGTCAACTTGACACACTTAGGTTGGGGGAGCCTCAACTGAGGAATTTCCTCTATTGGACTGGCCTGTGGCCATGTCTGTGGGGCATCTTCTTGATGAGTGATGTAGGAAAGCCCAGCCCACTGTAGGTGATGCCACTCCTGGGCAGGTGGGACTGTGTTGCATAAGAAAGCAGGCTGAGCAGGGGTCAGGGAGCAAGTCAGTAAGCAGTGACCCTCCATGGCCTGTGCTCCAGCTTATGCCTCCAGCTTCTTTCTCTGAGTTCCTACCTTGGGCTCCCTGATGAACTGTGACGTGGGAGATGTAAGCTGAATAAACCCTTTCCTCCACAAGTTGGTAATTGTCAGAGTATTTTTTCACAGCAATGAAGAAACAAACTAGGGCAATTGTTCTTGTGCATGCTGATACCATTATTGTATGTTCATATGAGCAAGGTCCCAGGAGCCTGTAAGAGTCTAATTCCATATGGTCATGCACTTCCTCCCTGGCTCTTACAATCTTTCCAACCCCTCTTCAGCAATGGTCCCTGAGCCCTGGGTGGGTGGAGTTTAATATAGGAGTCTTGTCCAAGGACCCACACTCGGCAGACTCTTATATTCTACTCTTTGGCCATGTATGTCTTTTTGTGTTCATGTTCCTCCGTTGCATGAGTCTCAGGCTTTATTTTCAAGTATTAAGCTGGGTGTTTAAGTGCTAAGTTTTATAACTTATTATGTTTTATGATAGAAATTTTAAAGATTATATGCATCAAAACTTACATCAACAAAGATACTCATACTACTTGCTGATAAGATCAACTTCTTTTCACTTCTGAAATAAAAACTATTTTTTCTCACACTGATTCTTGCATAGTTTTAAAGCCCTCTCAGATTATCTCAATTTATGCAAAGAAATGTTTCCTGGTTGTAGTTCATTATAAATATCACTTCCTTCATGTCACACTGCTTCCAAACATTTGTGCTTATGATATTTAAAAAGAGTATTTAAAATATATCCTCATACCAGGTATGGTGATGCACACCCCAGCACTCAGGAGGCAGAAGCAGGTTAAGCTCTGTGAGATCAAGACCAGCCTGGTCTACATAGTGAGTTCCAGGTCTGCTGGGGCTACAAGGAGACCCTGTCTCAAAACAAACAAACAAACAAACAAAAAACTGAAATGTATTCACACAATATTTCTTTGCATTCTCTTCATTTTTATATTTGATAAATTCTTTGACTAAAATACAAATTTTGTGCAGATGTTTCTGTTTAACAAGATCTATAACGCATTTTTAAAGACGGAATGGCATTTACATGAATTAGGTTGATAAGCTCATCATTTTCCTGGTTCTTCTAAAACAGAGTGCTTGACCCTGAACACAAAACACAGCTATACAGCCCACAGAGATCTGAGCTAAACTCCCAGAGTAATATGCTATCCTCAATTGACACTGACAGGATCCCTGTTGGTGCTATTTGATATCATTCTGGGTATTGTTTTATTATTTTTAATTAGCTTACAAAGTAGCAGATTTCCTTATGTCATTTTATACATACTTAGTTTTGGTTGACCCATTCCCTCCCTGCCTCCTCTCCCTCATACTGCTCCCCTATCCCTGCTTAAACCCTTCTACCACTACTAATATTCCACATTCCACATTCATATCACATTTTTCTGATTACCCTTCCACCCTACTCACTTAAAGCTTCTTTTTCCTTTTTCATGGACCCTTTTCTAGTTTCCTCATATGTAAACACATTGACTCCCACATAAATGCACATATATAAAAATTAGAAGCAAAGATCCACATATGATAGAGAACATGCAGTGTTGTCTTTCTGACCCTGGATTACCTCATTTAATATATATTCTAGTTGCGTCCATCTATCTGCAATTTTATAATTTCATTTTTCTTTACAGCTGAGTAAAATTCCCTTGGGTATGTGTACATTTTCTTTATCCATTCATCTATTGGTGGATATCTAGGGTGATTCATTCCTCTACTATTATGAATAGAATACCAATTGTCATAGATGAGCAAATATCTCTGTAGTAGGATATAGATTCCTTTGGGTATGTGCCAAGAAGTGTTATGGCTGAGTCATGTGATAGTTCTATATTAAGATTTTTTTTAGAAACCTCCATATTGATTTCCATAGTGGCTGCACCAGTTTTCACTCTCAGTAGCAGTGAATAAAGATTCCTCTCCTCTTACCCTCACTAGCATATTTTATGATTAACTTGGTCTGTAAATAAACGTTATGACCAATACCCTTTATTTACTGTTTAACAAAGTTACTATTTCAATGTATATCAAATGAAATGCAATTGTTTTAACAAAATGTACATACAGGTAGAGATTAACTGATAATAATTTTTACTAACATTAGGAAGAACAAAAGAATGACACATTTTACTACAAAAACACAAAACAATATTTCATTATGAGAAAAGAGCAGGTTATTAAAGAAATCTATATAAATATTCTAATTGTTAAATAATTTCATTTGCTGTCTACCTGAATTGAAAATGATTCTCACCAAGTTGTCCAATGCCCCCTTCATGTCTTTATTCCTCAGGGCATAAATAAAGGGATTCAGTGTGGGAGTCACCACTCCATAGAAGAGAGCCATGAACTTGGGCTGGTCCTTTGTGATGGAGGAGGGGGGCTGAAGGTACATGCTAATGGCTGGGCCATAAAATAAGAGAACTACAATGAGATGAGAGGAACATGTCCCCAAGGCCTTTTTCCTTCCCTCAGATTTCATCTTAAATACAGCATATCCAATACTAGTATAAGAGGCAAGAATTAGGCATAGAGGAACAGCTAGCATAAAAATGCACACCACTGAGAGTGCAAGCTCATTAGCCTCCTTTTCACCACAGGCAGTCTTTATCAGAACTGGAATTTCACACAACAAGTGATTTAGCTTTTTAGAGCCACACAGTGGCAACTGTAATGTAACAGTGGCCTCTGAGAAAGCATAGGAAATCCCACTCATCCATACAGTGGACACTAATAAGATGCGGACACGTTGATTCATGATGAGGGTGTAATGCAGAGGTCTGCAGATGGCAACATAGCGGTCAAAAGACATAACAGCAAGGAGGAGAGATTCTGCTGCTCCCATTAAGTGGAAGACATAAAGCTGAACTGCACACCCCATGTAGCTGATGGTCTTTCTGGAGCTTCCCAGATTAAACAGCATCTGAGGCACAATGCTTGTGGTGTAGCACATGTCCAGAAAGGAGAGGTTGGTGAGAAAGAAATACATGGGGCTGTGGAGACGGGGATCTAACTTGGAAACCAGAATGATGGTGACATTCCCCATCATGGCCATGGGGTATGTTACCAGAAGAATAATGAACAGAGGGAGCTCCAGCCAAGGACGGTCAGCAAAGCCAAGAAGAATAAATGCTTCAGGATGGCTCTCATTGATTACTGCCATTCTCTGCAATGTGTTTCACCTATAATGAAGAAATGGAATAAACAGTCATGTTCCAAATAATTAAAAAATATAACTGTGTATTGGCCATCTAATCATAGAAGTCAGGTTAAAGTAACTTGCTGTGGAAATAATACACAGCAACTTGGCACAGAATTTCCCATTGTGCCACTGCTAATTAAAGACAGGTATCATCAACAATTAAACTAACTATTCAGAAACCAATTTCCTCCTCTGAATTACAAAGCTGATAATAACCATCTCCTCAAGTTAGGGTGAGGGCTCAATGGCTGTTTTGTAAAGTCCAAAACAATAATTTGCTAATTTTTCTGGTATAAAAAACAGTTGATCCCAGTAAAAGGAATATTCTGTTGTTCCCTAACCCCAGGCATCTGATGTAGTAGATGTGGATCAGGTCCTGCAATCAGGCAAATTTTCAGAAGTACCACTACAAGGCTTTACTAACATCTTAAGAAGAGTGGTAGTGTGGCAGCAGTATCAAAGAAAGACAAAGGCCTGCCTGGTTCCAAAATTTGAGTAATCATACATACCATCTCCATGGAAAGTAATATGACTTCAGATTTAAATAACCATATCTTAGCTATTTTTAATTTGGAAGAAATGTAAATATTTTTAACATCAGCTTCTTTGAATATAATTAAGATACTTAACTGTGGCAAAAGTTATCTATTGTCTAAGAATTTGTTTTCATTTGTATTTTTTTCCTGGGTAATTATTGAGTTCAAACTTCATGTGTTTGATGTTTTATGTGAAATTTTATTTTGTTTGCCCATCCTGTAGAAATTTTTGTTTATCACACTGGATTGCTGGTTTTGTTTGGTTTATTTTAGTTTGGGTTTTAGTTTTTGAAACAGGGTCTCATGTAGATTAGGCTGGCTTCAAACTCACTATGCAGCCACGAATGACCCCGAACTTTTGATCCTCCTGCCTATGGCTCTCCAATGCTGGGATTACAGGCATATGTCACCATGCCTGCTTTATGAGTTTGGAAAGTTATCTGTGCCCAACTGATAGTTGATGGCTAAAATATTTCATAATGTTAAGTAACCACCACTAGAAGAAAAAAGAAAACACAAATAAATCAATGCAGGCCCAGATACTTACTTGAAATTTCAAGATCTTTTAATCTTTCTAGTAACAGTTTTTTAAGCTAAAAGTCATATGCACAACTAAACCAACTAGCTGAGTCAAGAAACATTTTGAGAAAGACAAGTAATGAGTTCTGTTTATTTTATTTGTTTCCTTTAATGGGGATTTGTATTTCACCAAAGTCTTTCATAAAATGGGGGGGGGGATTAAGATAGAGAGTTAATGTAGCAGCTCAGTGACAAATTTTTTTTCTGCAAATTGATTGGTGGTATAATAACACTAGATTATATTCTTAATTTTCTTTTAAATCACAGTTTTCTCATTCTCTTCCCATTAAATCTTGAATAACATGTTTTGAGGTTCTACATAAAGCTACTTGGGAACTAAGATATAAATAAGCTTTTTACATTAATTCATTAATAGCCACCCTAAGCCTTAAGATCAATGGAAATTCCTATCTATCTTTTTGCATGTTGTCAACCATGCGTTCCTACAGACTGTTAATAATAGTTTCTAAAAATATCTTAAATGAGGACATGAAATATTGAGAGTATTAGGTTCAGAGTTTTTTGATTCCACAGAAAACATCTGTATTTTAGAGATATTTCATAAACGATTGTTTCCTATACTCCATTCAAATTTGATGTTACTCAAAATATTATAGGATTACAGCAAATTTAGAAATATAACTTGACCTAAGCTCATATTTCTCTCAAAATTTTATAGTGTAAGTGGGATACATATTAAACATATATTAATTAATTTGAATTTCTAAATAAAGGTTGCAAATTTTAGAATTTAGCCACATTATTAACAATTGCACTATTAGAAGCTTGTGATCTGTTAACTTTGCTTCCTTGCATGCACATTTTGTAATTTTGTACCACAGACTGTCCTCAAATCTTTTTATCCCCTCTTCTGCCTTCCCCCATCCTTCAGTTCTTCAGTGACTAATTCTGGACATGAGTCTCTAGGCAGTTTTCACTGTTTATTTTACATAATGCAGATGTCCGTAATCTCTCCAATTTGTTACACCAATTTCACAAAATTTGTATTATTTGGGATTTTTTTAAGATTACCTACCTTATTGAGTGTAGCTTTGCTTGTCGGTTGTGATCTTCTTATCACCCCTGAGCTTCTGTAGATATTTTCCCCAAAGATAGCAGAGACAAAGAAGATGTGCTTAACAATTGTGTTTTCCTCTTAAAAGAATTCAAGCTCTGTAAGTCTAACCATAGATTTCTCATCTCTTCCATGACATGCTCATATTTCATTATTTTTATGTCTTGTGTTCCATCTGCTTCTTGGTTCCTCTTTGAATGATTTCCCATAATGTTCTCATTATATGGGAATCTTTTCATTCACACATGTTTAAAGTCACTTTAGTTAAATGGTAAACTCTTTTCTGGTTAACATCTCATTTGAAATCATCATTCACATTTATTGTACCTTATTCATACTCTGGTCACATGATATTTTATTTATAGAAAGCTTTAGCTTTATATATGGTAAAACATTACAATAAAATAAATGTGACTTTTAATCTGACACCAAAATTTGGATGAAACACAAGGACAAATCACATGACATTTAACCACTTCTGCAGAAATTATTCATGTGAGATATGCACTTAATTGAATAAAGGCTTCATATTTCAATTGGATATCTAATGTTTAACAAATATAATGCTTATTGAAATTTAAGCATATTTAAGACTGGTTTAATGAGAGGCTAAGGCAAAGATTAACTATAGAAAGAAGCCTAATTGGTCCTCAATCCAAATAAAGATGATATTTCCAAGTTTAGAAAATGCTCCCTGAAATGAAATTCTGCTTTTTGTGTGCATTTTAAGCCCTGTGATCTATACATCTTCTAGACACTGTTAAAAATCCATAATCAAGGCAGCTGGAGAGATTGCTCAGCAGTTAAGAACACTGACTGTTCTTGCAGAAGACCCAGGTTTGAATCCCAACACCCACATGGCAGCTAACAACTGTCAGTAAGTTCAATTCAAGGTGACAGTGTTTTCTGTCCTCCATGGGCATAGCATGACATGAGTACACTTACCTACATGCAGGCAATACATGCATGCACATAAAAATAATAAATAATTGTTTTAAAAATCCGTAATCAAGCCTAAGTAGTCATCCATCAAGAAAAATTAAATCCCCTCATTTACAGTGAAATTGATATAACTGGAGGATATTACATTGAGTGAAATAAAGCCAGACACAAAACATAACACACTCTCTCTCATGTGTAGGAACTGAAAGATGTTGATCTGAAAGTAGAATAGTGGTGAGGAGGTTGAGGGAAGTGGTAAAGGGTGGCTTTTCAATGCACACTGTATAATTGTATGGAAGTATCATAAGTCTTATTAATATGTGAAATTAGTATGTGTAAATAAAGTTTTATATAAAAACCACCATTTTTTTAAAAAATAGCATGCACGTTCTTGAAAAGGAAGAGTCTTTTTACTTACCCTATTTTCTTAAATAGTCTATAAAAAAGAATTATGAAGGAATTCATTAGAGTTTTTCAAACTTTGAGACATGGTAGCTATTCTACTGTACACAGGTGAGCATTCAACGATAAGTTTCAAAACTCTTCATTTTTTAGGTAATGCAGTGTGCCAATGGGGAGAAAAAAACATGGCTTTGGAAGACAGTCACAGAAAACACCAACAGGATTTTCTGAGAGTATTTTTGTATACTGTTCCTGAGACCTCTTGGGTGTCGTTTTCACAAGGGCTACTCATTGGTTCTTCTCCTGGAGTTAGTAGAGAAAGTCCCTTGGGGAAGATCTCCCTATAGAAATATTTCTAATCAATGTTCCTCTATTGAACAGTGCCTGACTTATTTCAATTGACGTAACATATTTGTCCAAGTTGCTGAAAATGAAAGATTTTCCTTCTTTTTATTTTAAATATTATTTCATTGGATGTAGAAACCATATTTTCTTTGTCCATTTATGTGTGGATGCACACATGGGTTATATCCATCAAGATCTTGGCCACTGTCTGCAGTGCTGTAATGCACATGGATTTCAGGTGTCTCTTTGACATGCTATTTTTTTCATTTTTTATTTTATTTCATTCTCAATAATGAGATAGTTGATCATATATAGTAATTACATTTTGGTTTTTAAAATATTTTATTTATTATTTTTTATTTTGTGTGTATGTGTATTCCCTGCATGTATGAAAATGCACCTGTGTCACACAATGCCCACATAGGTCAGAAAAAGGTGTCAGATCCCCTGGAACTGGAGTTATGGATGGTTGTTAGCTGTGATGTGGGTGCTTGGAACTGAACTTAGGTCCTCTGCAAGCAGCCTGTGCTCTTAAATATCTTAAAATATTTTCTCTGTTAGTTCCATAGTTTGGGGTTTTATATTTGACAGAGCTAAAAATAAACTGAATAAAGATGCAAGATATAAAACAAATGGCAAAAATCAGTATATTTTTAAACACTAAAAGTGAATTATATGAAATAAGACACAAAACCCCATCATAGATGGGAGAGATTGGCAAGAAGCCCCAGCCTTAGCTGAAGATCTATTGGCTGCTTCTAGAGGGAGAGTTAGTTTTCTTTAAGGGTGTGATACAGGTAAATTGACTAGACTCCAAGAGACTAGACTCCACACCCAAGAGCATTAGGGGAACATAAACTAGACTCTATAGGTGCTAACAGAAAAATGATAATAGAGGTCATGAAGTCAGGGGGGTTATAGAGTGGGAGTGGAGATAGGGGAAGGGACCAAATTCTCAAAATGAAATATATAAAAATATCTCATTGATTACAGTTACAAAAAAAAACCCACAAAGTGCTAAAAAATGTTATTCAGCTTAGACCACTATTGCCCTGGTACAAAAACAAGATATAAAGGCAATG